AAGAAGAAGAAGAAGAAGAAGAAGAAGAAGAAGAAGAAGAAGAAGAAAAAGAAGCAGCAAATAAATAGTACAAGCCCAGGTGCTGGGGAGAACTTTCAGGTAGCAAGCACATGGTAGCTGTCACAGTGGGAAGGGTTGGTTCTTAAACCCTCTGCAGAAACCCAAAGTCAGAGCTGCTCAACTCCTTGATAAAAATGATTTTTCATTTATAATATAACCTACACGATTCTCCACATGCTTAAAACACTTTGTGGATTACTGATAACACCTAATACAATGGATCTCATGTAAATAATTGTTGTTTTATTTTTCAGGGAATAATGGCAAGAAAATGCATACATGTTTGACATAGATACAGTCACAGTAGAACTCCATGGTCCATAGTGCTGGGGAGAAACTGAGGCCATGCCATAGGAGTAAGCTTTAGCGGGTTCTCTTCAGACATCAAGCCATTCTCATGGGTTTATCTTTGCATGTGGCAAATTCATATTGCTCCATAGTTGGATGACTATATTATCAAACATGAAGGAACCAAACAATGAAACATGATAATTAAACCCAGAGACACGGTGGGCAGAAGGGAAAGATAGCTCCCTCAGATTGCATAGGGTGTGGACATTGAATCAAGCGGGGACAGCTAATAAATCTGTTAGGATTCTGGGCCACACAGCCTCTGTCACAGATACCCTGCTGTGTCCTAGGAATAAGAAAGCGTCTGTAAGCTACTGGGAGTTCCCAGCTGCACCTGTGTTACAATCAAGCTCTCAGCCTGAACTTCACAGGTGGAATTCTTACAGTCACATGATAGGATCCTTCCTTTGAGTATTCCAACACTAAAAAAAAAAAAAAAAAAAAAAAAAAAAAATACAGAGAAACCATGTCACATTTAGGGTCATAGGGATGTAAGCAACAGGACGTAGCTTACCTGTGTGTGGCTTAGAGAGGGGCTGCATGAAAAAGGGCTCGTCTTTGCTGTTAGGACAAGAGCATGGCTGGCCGGGGAAGCAGGCCAGCACAAGAATGGCTGCCTTTCACAGCTATCTGTGGCTCTTTCTGCAGCCTCCTGCCTGCAGGGCTTGCCTTTAATTTATGCTTTGCCTTAAATGGCCTTTGAAAGGTCTTTTTAAGGACAGTAAGGTGACATACACTTTTAACCCCAGCACTCTGGAGACGGAGACAAGAGGGGAATCATGAGTTTTGTGGCAGCCTGGACTCCAAAAAATAAGGGAAAAAAAATTGTCTCTAAAAAGCAAGCGATCTGCTTAAAGCGGCAGCACTGATTATAAAGGAGCAAAGAACAGAACTGTTTCTAAGGGTAGATACATTTAATTGTGTGTGTGAGGAGACAGAGTGTGTGTGCTAGCGATGGGAGAGGCCAGAAGAGGGGCCAGCTCTCCCAGAATAGAGTCACAGGTGCAGTAAGTTACAGCTGCCCGGCATTGATCCTGGGAGATGAACGGGGCCCTCTGCCTGGCAGTGCTGCTCTTAGCAGCTAAGGCATGTCTCCATCTCCAGAACACAGTTTCTTAGTCACATACACCCTGACCAGAAGTGTCTGATGTTCGTGTGTTTGGGAGGCCACCCATGACAAGTTTACTCCGTTATTGTGTGTCAGCCTGTTTCTAGCCCATGCCAACCTGCCCATGAAGAAGTGTATGGTGCAGACGAGCACCGGCTTTGGTGGAGGGCTGTCCCTCCCACACCACGCCAAAGCTGTGGCGCTGGTCTCTCTTCCCGGCTGACCGCTCTAACTGTCCTTGTCCATCTTCCCACACCAGGCGACGAATCCAGCGGCTCAGGCAGCGGCAGCGGGTGCATGGATGATGTGTGTCCCACTGAGTTCGAGTTTGTCACCACCGAGGCCCCTGCGGTGGACCCCGACCGGAGGGAAGAGGAATCTTCCGGCGCGCAGCTCAGCTACTCCCTGGTCTCCTGGCCTCTGGTCGGCCTGGTCTTGGCCCTGCAGAGACGCTACAGATAATCCTGGGCTTTGGTCGAACGAAACTGCATTTTAGCTCTTTAGTGGCCAACTCCCTTCTTTTCTTACACTTGGACAATGGACCGTGCCACAAAACTCGCCGTTTTCTATGACAAGAGAGCAGTCTCGCGGATCTGCCTCCCTTTTTGTTTTCCCAAAGAGTTCTGGGAGCCAGACGGCCTGCTTCTCTGCCCTTCGCCCGTCTGGGCGACCTCGCTTACTCCAGAGAGAATTCTTACTCAAATCTTTCGTACCAAGAGATTTTTTCTTACCGTCATTTGCTTTTATGCTGCAAAATTAAAGGAATTTCACGTTGTGAGGGGTTTTTGTTTTGGTTTGGTTTGGTTTGTTTTTTTGTTTTTTTTTTTTTTTTTTTTTTTTTTTACAACCCACTTTAAATAAGATGGGAAGAAAATAATTTTCCTTTTCAAATCAGGCCAAACCCCAAGACAACTGCATTTTCAACAAGAAAACAAATAAAGGAAGGAAAATAAAGGAATTTTCATGCTATCAGGTCTGTGAGAAGTGAGGTTTACAAAATGCTTGAGTTTCGAGAAAGCATAACATTTTTATGTAGCGGAAATACACTGTTGTCTTGGAGGCATTGTCTTGCACTCTAACCAAACTGACTTGGAGGTACTGGTCGTAAAAGAGGTAATGTTGTTGCAGCTCAACCTGCCTGACCCCACTCACTGAGGGCAGCATTTTCTCAGTCTCCTAAGGTCTGTCCATTGTATCCAGTTGGCGCGGGTTGTCTTCAGCTCTTCACAATGCCCCCATCCAGTCTCCCTTCCCCGGGTCTTGCCTGAAAATCCTCTTCAGTGGTACAGTCTCTACTTTTGCTGCCAGTCTGACATGAGCTAAATGTCTCAGCTCCTGTGTTCTAAACTCTCCCCCCAAAAAGAGTTCTTACTGGCATGACAATTAGCTCCACACATGAGGTTTTGTCGTTGACTCTTTGATTTGTGTCAGTTGGTTTCAGCATCACAAGGGCATTCTCTTACAGAACAACTCACAACAACAAAAAAAGTCAAGACAAAAAAAGAAAAAAAAAACACTATATATATAGTATTGACATGGAGATTTCTTTCACTTTTTTAGTCTTAGTATGATCATCTATTTTTATATCTATATATATATATATAAATCACAGATTTTAACTTCTTAATTCCAAGCTCAGGGTTGACACTCCTTTGTAACAAAACTGTTTTGTCAACCACCTCTTCTTGTTCTGTGCTGCTCGGAGAAGGGAGTCCTCAATGATCTGTGAGCACCAAGAACCAAGGAAGAGAACTTTTTATGTATCTAACTGTCCATCTCTTGCAAGTTTGCCGGGGCACACCCTTTTCACACACGTCTCCTTTGTCCCTGGCGCTCCAAACTGTCGTGAGCTCACGGGACAAGCCCTGGTGTGCAAGATGTTACTGGTGATGGAATGTGTGTGTGTAAAAGAATGTTATTCATGAAAATCCATTGCTCTCATGTACAACACCTTTGGCCTAGGACTCCTACTGGGTCTGTACTGGAGTAAATGGCCTAAACTCAAGAGGCCAGTTTAGAGCCTAACAGCCTAACCCATCCACCACGCCAGGCCCAGTGTGTCCCCTGGCAGAGAGAAGCAAAATCAACCAAACTGGGGTTCTGTGAAGACAGTTGGTTTTTTTTGGCACATCTGGGGTAGGAAGAAGAAATGTTTTAAGACACCACAGCATGCCAATCACATTTTAACAGACTCACCAACAGTATTGACACACGAATGGTATTTTTCTCTGTTCTCATCAAAATTAAAATTAGTTCTCGATTTAGTCACCGTGTCTAAGTAGAACACACGCACTAGTATTCAGTATATTTGAGCACTTTGGAAAACAGAGTATTTACAACATCTGTTCCCACTTCATGCCTAACAAAATATGAAATGTAGGATTTTGAGGCATCTTTCATTTAAAGTTGTGTGAAGTTCACACGTAATCCAATTCGGAACTGCATCTTCAGGAAAACCATCCATCTCAGTGTCCCCTTTGGCTTTAATCACCTGTTTCACATAACACACCTCTGTGAAGGACCAGCCGTTTGTGTTACTCAGCTCATTGTATGTTCAGAAATCAGTATTGTTTTTTCCAATAATTATGGTGCAATACAAATTAAATCAACTTTGATTCTCCAGGATATTTGAGTAATAACTTATTTTTATGGCTTTAAACTCCAACTTCCTTTTTAAAATATTTCATCATTACTTCCTGCAAAACAAATCACTATGTCTTGTTTCTTACTGTGCTTTTGTGCCCAAATGGTTTATATGACAACATGCTACATTAATGAGTGTGAACCCATGCTCGGTGTACACTAATCACGAAGATAATGTAGAGATACCTGCTTCCTTTGTCTCAACACCTCAATTCTCAAGGGTATTACTATTGATGAAATACAGCGATGCGTATGAGCCAGGCAGAGAGCTGAAAATGAGGGTCAGCCGACAAAGCCACATCATTCGTCATCGTGCATGGACATGGTCAAAAATATTATTCACGTGTACTTCCTGGTCACTGTCAGCATCCATCATGTGGTTTTTAGACTGATTTGATGTTAAAGATCGGGGTTTTTTTCCTGCCCCTAAGCCTTTTCATTTAGTTACCCCTTTTCAGGACTTTAGACTCCTCCTCTGAAATTAAAATTCTCATTTCAGCATAGTAACAGGAAATGTATTGATGTCCTGTTATCATTCACGGCCTGCTCTTGGTAGTAATCATGTCCCTAAAATCTGCAATCACATCATGACTTGTGTTATGAGTAGAGAGGAACAGGACCCCCCAAATTGGACACTAGAACCTGGTGGGTGGTGCTCATCACTGCAAACACTTAGCTTATTGAAGTGCCTCTATTTACATGTTCCTTAGTTTTAATATGTATTTTTCTAACAGAAATACACGTCTGTAACTGATGTTTATTATACTTTGTATATGTTACAACAAAGGCTAAACGAAGGCTAATGTCTTTAGCAGAGAAGAACGAACTGTAAATTTAGGAATGAGAGCCCATGAGACAGCTGTGTGCCCTTGCCACGAAGGCCGAGTTGGCACTTTGACTACAGCCATCGCAGACTGTAGCACTGGAATTGTGACTCCCTTACCGTGATATACCCAAGTAGGAAGATGACATGAATCACCTGCTTCAAACATAAGGGATAGAAACTACTTTGTCTACACTGAAAAATGCGCTTCCTTGGTGAGCAGTAATAGTTTTTAAAGGAACATTCTTTAAATCAGACTCATTGGAAATATTATTGGAGGCAGAACCATGGAGCTTAACTTACATTCCCTGCTGCAGACATGAGCCTTCTTTAATTCTTCTTGCCATTACATACACATCTGGGCTACAGACTAAGCACCAACTTAAGTCTTCAAGGAGGAATAAAACTTAGTAAAAATCCTGGCTTGCGATTCTTTGCTCACCGCTCTGCAAAGCTAATTATCATCAGATGGTTTCACTTTAGGTTTCACGTGTTGGCAAATGCACGGTTTGACTTCTCCAAAAGATTGAGCATTTTCTTTGACTTACAGTCACTAACAGATATTTAAATTAAAGAAAAACAATGTAGCCTTGGTAGCAGAAGAGCAAAGGAGTCCGTAACTTATCAATCTGCAGTGTGTTCCTCCTTGGTAGAGATATTAGCCGGTGCTTAGTTTTAGGCCAACTTACACAAATAGAGTATTGATTTGTACGCATTCTGGAGACTTGCTACGTCCTGATTTGCTACAGCCCAGACTCAGCTTAGAATGGTAATGCTTGGGACTTCAGTGAGAGTGGAGCGGATGCTGGAATCTTTGGCATTGCCTTGAAATGAGGGACTTCACGAGCTCCTCCTAAAGGAGGCATCACAGTGCAGTCTCTATGTGCATACACAGAACACATATACAGGATAACTGTGTGCGCCAATCAAACCTAAAATTTTATGTGACTGTCAAATGACTATTATTTGGGTTAAGATTTTTCATTTTCTGATTTGGATAGAAAATTGCTATTAATCTTGTATTAAAATAGTTTTTAAAAATTTACCTGTTATCCTGTTTTCTTTATGAGTGTGGTAGCCTGTTTTTCTTATTAAGTGTTTTTGTTGACATCATTTTAGACTCATTAGTACTAAAATTCAGTAGTTGACAAAGTACCCACATCCCTGAAAATCATGAACCCTGCAAGCGTAGGACATTAAGATTACCAGTCAATGGACTAACCCCTTCCAAATGGAGCAAACTGCATTGTTTTTGTATTTCGGAGAGGCTCTGTACCCTCATGCATACTGAATACTATACAGCCCTCTAGAGATCCTCCACTCACCCACTGTGAGTGCTGTGTCATGGGTGTCCAGTAACCATGAGGTAAAAAGTACACAGTCCTCAACGCAGCTAACTATTACTTTAACAGAAATAGGTCACTAATTTTAAGAATACTCTTAAATAAAGGAGTCTATGTAAATGAAGGAATCAAGAATGTGGTATTTAGCTGTAAGAAACACTACAGTTTAAGCCAATTATCACCATCATGGTTTTTATCAAGCAAAGTGCTTTTTACAAGACAATTTGGGAGCTTTAGACCAAATGCATCTACAAAATCACAATGTAACAGATTTGATTTGGAAGAAAACTGAAACTGGTTTAATGGGAAAAAAAAATACCAAAAGCAAAATTCTTTTCAGTAAGTAGTAAGAATGTTTATTTTGAATAAAAAGTCTGGGATAATAATTATCAAACACATGCACCAAAACGGCATTCACTGCACAGATATCAGTTCAGGAACAGTAGCAGCTAAAGGCCAAATATTGTTTTGTATCTTGAGAGCTAGGAAGGCATGGCTCGGTTTAAGCAGAGGTGAACAGACACGCATCTGATGGATTGTCAGTACACTTCCCTGCCATTTATTTGCTGCTCTAAATATACTGCTGACTTGCATTTTTATCTGTTTTAATGGGATTCCTTATGCCTCTTCTTCCTTCTCCACCCCAATCCCTTCCAACACCAGATAGGAAAGAAAGAAGGCTAGTGAGGAAAGGTGGCACAGATCTCTTAGACTGTTTCCTGCTGCTTAGGGTTGTTGGGTTCCTTGGGGCAAGTTCAATCTTTGTAGTCAGGACATCTACAAGTTTTTCTCATCAAACAACATCAACAGCAGCCAGGAGCAGGAGGAAACCCACAGCCTTCTTCTTTCAAGTGCCTCCTCTCCCTCTCTGGGCTCTGGCATTTATTCCCTCTCAGAGTCCCAGAATTATCTATCTGCAGCTGGCAAAGATCATGCC